AATTCAACATAATAAAAATACTATTGAAAAAATCCTATTTATTTTCGAAATGCGTCACTTATTTGTTAACTTTGAAAACCCCAATTGAATCTTAATATTAATTAAAATTCTTAATTTAAATTTGTAAAACAATTACCATCTGAATTTTTATCAATTCTCAAATATGCAAAAAAATGTTATACGTATTGGTACAGTACAATGCATGCAAATAGGGGGTTTCAAAGTTAACAAACACCAGGGAATTCACCACAATGCCAAAAGTGCCTAAGGACAAATGCCGGAGAATTCGCCACACAACGCTGAAGGTGTTCAAGGACAAACGCTAGAGAATTCACCACAATGCCACACAAAAAAAAAACTCCAAAAAAAGTTCCATATCGCCTTAATGAAACGGTTAAATAATATAATTTAATAATAAATTTATATACGATGTAAAATGCTAGATAAATTTTTATGATTATTTATAATTTCATCATTTGTGAGATTATTCCATCCATATACAAGATAATCATGAGATGATAATGTATCACGTATGATTCTGAATGTTCTATTAAAATTTAATTCACTATGGTTTCTAATGACGCATTCATGAATGGTAAAACTCAAATTTCTATGACTCTTCACATATTTTTCATACTCTAGAAACCTTTTCTTGGTAATTGTACAATTTTTTAATAATATATTTTTTAAATTACGTAATCTTTCGAATATCCTTTGGTCGATATCTGTATAGACCTTGAAAAAGACGACATAATCAAGTTTCAAATAAAGATCTAATGTTATTGCAATTTGTTTATGTAAATGTACAGTATCATAACTATCTTCTCCATTGTCTATTCTTTTATATATTAATAAATTTTTAATTGTTCTATTAGTATGGGGGGTGTTAAGGTAAAGATAACGACTTTCTGCAGCAAGATTAAGTTGTAATACTTTTGCAGCAACTTCACAGTTAAATTGCATGATTTATTTTGATTTAGATATGATAAGTAATGAACAATATCGTATTTCTTTAAAAAAGTTTACCGTACAGTGCTGCATACAGTACCACCTTTAAATAGTATCGGGATACTTGAAAAAAATAATTTATCGATTGAAAAATTTTGTCAACTTATAATAAAATAATCGGTTAGTTGACAACTAATCGATTGAAAACTTTTTGGCTATTTGTATCACTAGAAAATAGTAAAAATGAGATTTATTAGTATCAGAATTAGAAAACATTGAACAGATAATATAAATAATCTATGGGTTACTGAATATCCATAGATTTAAGATTATTTATATTATTTAAAATTCTAATGGAAATGGATATTCAATGGATTTAGGGACACTATACTGAAATAATACGAAGATTGAATATGTGAGCTATTTGCTGGATAAAGGGACCAAATTGATAGTGATTTGACCCGAAATCCATTGGATTCTATTTTCATATTAAATCCATAATACATTAAAGTTAATCTTTAAAAAAATTAGTTCAATTAATTATGTTTTATTACTTGTAATTCTTTGGCTAGAATCCAAACCAATAATTAGCAAGGATTTATAACAAAAATTTAGTTAACTATCAGTTTTACAATAATTTAAAGTTATTGAAATTAAATTTATTTAATGGTAATAAATTCAATTTAATCAATCAAATAGTAGTTTTTGGCTTTTTTTATTAATAATAAATTGTTAAAATTTTTTCCATTAAAATTTAACAAGCATCGATTTAAATTCACGTTCAGTGCCAATAAAAATAGTAATCAATATAAATACGAATATGTCTAAAGTTGATGACCTGAAGCGTTTCAAACAGAAATATGATATGGCCTGGAAAAGCTTTATGAACATGGAAAAAATTCTGAAATTGGAAATCCTCCGCAATCATTCAACGTTTTTTTTTTGTTACTGGGTCAAGTATTCTTTCTATCTTTAACTATGTAGTGAAATAAAAAAAAATGCATGCCCCTAAGAATATAATTGTTGCAAAAACGGCAGAACGAACAGGATTATGTAATAAATTTTTTGATACGTATTACTTTATTATATAGGCTGATGTATGTGTAACTTAAATCTCAAAAGCATTGATGAATCCAATACTATTCACAATAAAATTTTCTTCAACCAAAAAGCTGAATCGCGTTATTTAGTTTTTTATTTTCATCTATCATTAGTTGGTCTACGCCGATGGCCCCTCCAACTGGTTTTCTGCGCTTTTTGTTCAGTAATATTATTATTATTAAAAATATTTCTGATATTACAATTGCAGATATTATTCCACCTATGATTATGTAGT